TGGCCTCACAGGAATGCAGTTATATTACTTATGCACCCTTCCTAGCCTCCCATTTGTCATGCTTTGTTATTTCTTTTTTCGCTATCATTTTCTCACCAAATGAAGGGGGCAGGAATGATTAAGAATGGTTTTCACTAGAAGCAAACCCCAGGAGTTCTGTGTTTAACAAGCAAGGATCCTGTCTCCTCAAGGCTGGCCTCGTTCGGTGTGGATAAGGGAGAGAATGACTTGTGTGATATAAGTTCATTATTTATTTATTTATTTTCTTAGAAATGTTTAGTCCACCATAGAAATGATTCACAGACAGAAGGAAACAAAACACTGAAGTGGTTGGTGGATATTTTTAGCAGAAGGAAAGTGTTCTTTTCCCAAGGTTGAGGGAGAAAAAAACTTCTTTCTTTGCAGCCCATGGACTTAGGACCTTGCAAAGCTGGGCATGTATATTCCTTCTGCATAGGAATTGATAAAAGAGTGGAAAAGAGGTGTAAAGTGCATGTAATAGGAAATCACCTTCACTGGTGGTATGTAGGATATTTCAAGGTGAGTGCTCCCTGGTCCCTTGTTGAAGCTGCTCTGCTGTGCACAATAGATTTCAACATTGTTATGCCTACAGGGGAGCGCAGCACTGCAGGCTGCTGACTTATGTGTTTATCTGAGAGAAAGAAGCAAGAGGTTCCCTTACCCTTCCCCCCAGTAACTACTATAATTAAGTAATAGAAAATTATTGTGATTAGTTTATTCAACCAAAATACTAGATTCTGTTCTATATTGTAATTTCATTTTGTTTGACTGAAACTGGTAATTTTGTTAATGGAATACAAATCATACTTCCATGAGGAGATAGAGTGCTCTTATGCTAAAAACAGGTATCAATGACATAGAAAGCTCATTTTGGTCACCGCCAATGATCTGCAGTACTGCAGAAGCCAGATGGCCAAACTGCAGTCCTATTTTCTTTTCTGTCTTCTGGAAGTTAAAAAGTCCTAGGGCTGCTCAGTCCTTGAATGAGATACTGAGGAAATCACAGAAAACAGAGGAACAAACTAAAGAATATTGCTTTATCGCTTAGATCAAAGACTCTGAACAAGGAGATGGACTTAATTTTAACACCCTACTATGGCCTGTGGAAAGCTGGTGGGGAGAGAGGTGTTGCCTAAGTACTGACTCTAATTCTAAGCATGTCTTCCAAATCGTTTTTTTGGGAAGAATTTGTCACTATTTTTATCCTTCTCTACACCCCCCTGCCCCCTCCACGATGGTGTTTATCTTCAGGAAAACAGGGAGTTTAGAAGTCTGAAGGGCTTCTGATTGTGTCTGAACACCAATGGTTTCTTTGAGATCACAGTTGTCAAAGCTAGTAGGCAAACAAGAAATGTTAGAAAATGTATTTGAGGAACTTGCTCTCTAGAAATATCTGACTTAAAAAAATATGTGTTAAAGGAATACCTTTTTCTCAAAATAAGAAACAACAGTGGTTTGGATTTATCTCTTTCTTGATCTCAGAGATTGTTAGCATGATGAGTCTTATTGGCATTTACTGTCAGCAGAGAAGTTATATTAAAGAAAAATTGCAATAGGCGAAATAGAACAAGGACAATGAAAGAAAATACTCCTGATGAGCAAACCCTTTGTTTATTCTAGTCTCATATTAATCTTGTGAGTTGAGTTGTTCATGTGAAGTCACTCCTAAGAACTCTCGAGCATTCATTACCAGTATTACAGGCTTTATTTAAAATACTATTTTTACATGCACGAGCAAGAATACCAATTTTTTACCTAAGTGATAGTAAATGATTAATTAATATTACTGCTACATTTCAATCAGTGTGTTAATCATGCCCTCATAATCAGGTGAAGGAATGTATCCTTAAGAAATAAAATATTTCTTATGTTTTACTAGACTGTAGAAAAAGAACCTCCACATTCTTAAAAATACATAGATCCAGAACAGTATTTTCTCATTCAGCAACCAGGAAGTTTTACCAGTCTGACAGATGACATCTTCTGTCTTTTCCTCCCCCAGAGTAAAAGCCTAAAACACATGCATGGGGTAGATCAGAGGACTGATGATTGTGTCACTGTTATTATTACAAGACAAGGTAGTGCCCAAATACCCAATCAGTTCATGAATCCCTTATCTGATTCCTTTCTTGTCCTAGTTTGGATGCTTTTCCTGTCCATTAGCAAAGTCGTTACCAGGCAGATGTGGAGTTAGCAAGTGGGACAACAGTGACTCTTGAACTACCAATCTGTCCTTCCCAAATATTATATCTGTTTTTTTTTAGTTATAAAGCGTAGTAAGTGATAACAAAAATATTCAATCTCATCACCAAAAGAAGGCCATGAGGATGATCAAAGCGCTGTAAAACACCAGAGAAGAAAACACCTGGAGAAGAAAAGGCTCACAGGGGACTTCATCATCATCTTCCAGTACTTAAAGGGTGGCTTTGGAGGATGGAGGCTTTCTCTTCATGGGGAGCCACATGGAGATAACAAAGGACAACAGGTACAAATTGTACCATGATGGGTTTCATCATGATATGAGAAAGAAAATTTTCAAATTGAGATCAATCACTGAAACAGCTTCCCTAAGGATGGGATAAGAGTCCCCATCACTGAAGGTTTTCAAGACACAACTAGGCAGGGTACTAGCAAGTCTCATCTTTTCCACAAAAGGTTGAACCAGGTGATCTTTCAAAGACCTGAGCTGTCATATGGTTTTATTTCACACAGTAACAGTTTTTTGCTGTGTCTGCTTTTATAGAGTTGTTGAGAGACAATCTGGTACTCCACACGCCTTCACAGTTTGATATCTTCCTAAACCCATTCAGTAAACATACCTTTTCAGTAATTTTCCTTAGAGCTATTAACAGACATCCTGGTTTGGTGGTGTCTTTGGCCCAGCTCATGCTATTCTGTGTTCTGCTTTAAGGAACCCTTCAACCCACATTTACTAGAAAGAAAACTGATTTTTAATTCAGCTTTTCTTCAGAATTTATTTCTAATGACATAAGAGAGAATGTGTGTATGGTAGGTAGCAGTTTTGTGGTCAGCTTTTGGATCTGATCTTTAATCACAGGTTACCATGGCTACATTGTTTGATTCCTTCGTTTCCTGGCAAATGTCTTTGCTGAGCTGTGGACATATTCAATTTGTGAAATGCTTCATATCTTAGTGCATGTAGATTAGATTGAGTATGAATTTGTAAAAGAGTAAAACAGTTCTTTCAAAAGTATCTCAGCATGTATGCTATTCTCATAAAAGTTAGTGGAAATGCTGGCACTTGTATTGAAATAACACCAACCAGCCAACTGGCACTGAACATCTATTTGTTCCATGTGTACAATCGAGTCATAGTGAATATTTATAAATTAAAAAACCCCTAAATTACTCAATAAGACTTGACTGAACAGACTTCATAATGAGATAATGTAGACCTTCAGGTAAACTACTAGAGGTGCAGTGTTTATCTCATTACAACACACATTTACTAAAGAATAGCATGCTCCAAGGCATGTATTTATACTGCAATACATTCCTGCAACAGGCCTCTTTTGAGGTATAAGGTAGAAGTAGCTTAAAAACTTGAAAAGTAGATGCCTTTTCCTCTAGCTGCATATATAACAGACAGCTGTATTCAGTGGTTTATTGAGTGTGTTAATTGTGAGCAATAAGGCTGAAAAATGTGTGTTCTAGTGAATAGCTTCCCCTGCAGTTCAAAATATTTTCAGAAAGCAGGCAAAAACTCCAAAGAAAGAAATTCCAGTTGCATTCGAGGACTCAAAAGTATGTTGTTCTAAAGTTGCTGCTATAGTAGTAATAGTATTACAGGATACTCAGTTGGGCAGAGGAGCAGCTTAAATGTTGCTACCTTTCTGCTAGTGACACGAGAGCCTAGAAAATAAAAGTGCCCAGTCTATTTCATCTCCACTAAGGAGATGTGGCAAAGGAAGAGTCTCTTCTACAAATAAGCAGTTTATTGATTATTCTTTGCTTCTAGTGTAGTGTAAATTTAGAGAGTCCCAGTGAAATTATTGGAGTGACATCAGTAAAATCAAGTGCTGTGACAGAGCATCAGAGCTGCATCATGGAACTCTCTTGCCATTGAAATCAAGGAGAATTAGAGAATGATCTTGGTGCTGGAGTGATTTCATACCTGTATATGTTACTAGAAATTATAATAGACTGCAATGATATGATATATAGAAGTAACTTTCAAAGTCAGTAATCAGGGATTCGTGGTGCTCCATCGATCAGAAAAAATAACAGAATAATTTCCAGACTTTAAATGGTGTAAAGAAGGAAAATAATAATAATATAAAAAAGAGTGACTAATAATGGTTCAGAGAAATGAAATCTGATAGAAAGGAGATGGAAAACTAAAGATAATTTGTTATTATTTTTATGCTTGTATTACACTGACATGGAGTGTCCCAAAAAATGTTGGAAGAAAAAGTTTCATGTCCTAAGGAACTTCAGGCCAACACTAAAAAGGTTTGGTTGGAGGCCTGACAAACTAATTAATGAGGACAGATGCATGGGAGAAATCATAATACCAATTTTGCAGTTGCTGTACTAGGCTTCCTATATGTCAGCTCTGTGTAGTTCATGGCTGGCCTAACCACAGAGCACTTACAGCAGTATGCTGGAAAAAGGATGGTCTGCAAGAATATATATTTATTGAATAAGTAATAATTTGCTAGGGGAATTTCTGCTTTAATTCCGGTAGCTGTCTTGCCCTTACCTCTAAGGATAGTATTTTATCTCCATTTTCAGTAAGGATGGTAATAATTTAATTCTGGAGCCAGATCCAGATTGCTCTTAATTGTTGTGTCAGTATCATTGTGATCAGACTTTACTTTTCATTTATGTGGCTGAAAAGTCTTTTGCTATTTGTTCTCATTATTGTTGCAGGATCTTGCTAATTTTGCAAGTTATAGGGAAACTCCTTTTGATCTGTGAGACACATTGACCAATTATCTTTTTCTCTTTCCTTACAGACTTTCCATAGTGGACAAATAACGAACGCCGAAAAACAGTGAAATCATCAAGGCTGAGGCTCATCCCTCAGAAGGATACTGGGAGGAATGTGAATGTCAGAGAACAGCATGACAAGCCATAACAATCACAGTTAAGTTTCTGTTGATGTTCTTCCACTATTAAAAATAAGCTGTCATGAAGAAAAGAGAAAGCGAACAGAGAGTGGCTGGAAAAATTATTTATTTGAACTGGGGAAAAAGGGGGTATGTCACATTTCCCTTTTAGTCTTTTTCAAAGCAAAATTCCAATCAAGATATATTCAGTTCAAATTTTGAAATTTAAGGTTATTATCACAGAAACGAAGAATCACAGAATGGGTCAGGTTGGAAGAGACCACAGGAGGTCATCTGGTCCAACCTCCCTGCTTAAGCAGGGTCATCCTAGAGCATGTGGCACAGGATTGTGTCCAGATGGTTCTTGAATATCCCCAGTGAGGGAGACTCCACAATGTCTCTGGACAACCTGTTCCAGGGTGCGGTCACCCACACAGTAAATAAGTTCCTCCTTATATTCGGGTGGAACTTCCTGTGCATCAGTTTCTGCCTATTTCCTCTTGTCCTCTTGTTTGGCACCACTGAGAAGAGCCTGGGTTCCCTCTCAGTCATCTCTTCTGGAGGCTGAACAGGGCCAGCTCCCTCAACCTTTCATCGTAATAGAGGTGCTCCAGTCCCTCAATCTTCTTTGTCACCCACCAGAACTGGACACAGCACTCCAGATGCAGCCTCACCAGGCCTGAGTAGAGGGGCAGGATCATCTCCCTCAACCTGCTGGCAATGCTCTTCCTAATGCATTCCAAGATACCGTTGACCTTCTTTGCCCCAAGGTCAAACTGCTGGCTCATGGACAGCTTGACCTCCAGGTTCTTCTGTGCAGATCTGTGTTCCAGCAGGTCAGCCCTCAGCTTGTACTGGTGCCTGGGGTTTCCATTATAAGAAAAGATATTAGTTGTCGAATTCAAAACTTTCTAATTTACACAACATTTTTGTCCATAAAATTTTTAGCTTCCTACATTGCCTATATTTTGACCTTTTCCCTCATTTTCAATGCATTCTGTTACTGGTTCCCGATATTAAGTCTCTTCCAACTGGAAGGAGTGAGTGGAAGAAAAAGTGGATGGAAAATATGATGTCAAGGTTTCTTTAATTCACAGGTTTTCTCTCACAGAATATTTTCTGTTACTGCACCAAATAGCAGGATTCTAAGTTTTAAGATAGATGCTTGGAGAGAAAAAAAAAGAAAAAAAGAAATGAGACAATTGAAATGATTGTTTTTTGTCAATCTTGGTGAAAAATGGGGTAATTGAGAAAAAATCTAACAGACTGAACAGTGCTCATACTTGATGGTCTTATTTTTGTGGAAAAGTCTCTTATATTGACTTAATGATATCTACTGGAATTGAAACAACAGTGTCTACACAAGGGACTTACCCTGTTTAATTGCATCAGTTGAAAGTGATTCAATTTTTTTGGCAGAAACAAGCATAGGGAGATGGAAAAAATAAATGGCTATTTTTTTATAGTGAAATAAAGGGGAGGAAGCAAAGCAAACAACTTATGGCCCTGAAATACTATTATTATATCTAGGAAACCATGACCAAAAGATGCTAATTTGTTTCAACTCACTCACCGTGAGGGCTCCCTTTGATCCTCCTGCCTTTCTTAGAGTGTGATATTCTCACATTTTAATGCAGTATCATTTGACATTGAGATGCAGGGAAAATTGTCCAGTAAACAGCTTTCTTGTACTGATTTGGAGCTTGTGGGAAAGATTATAGTATGAGTTGGAGTCTGCCACAAGAGAAATGGATTATTACTCTGGGAACACTTACATCAAGGAGGGCCCTTTTACAGCTGAAAGAGGCAACCTTTTACAAAGAGCTGTGTTCAGTGAACTCCTTGTCAGCTTGCTGAAAGTGCTAACTCACAGCATACAGGTCATTCCTTCCCAGAAACATGAGAGAAAAGCTTTAGCATGCTGTTTGTGACTTCTTCTCCTTGAATGTAATGGTGTTTTTTACAAAATGACACCACATAAAAGAAAAAAACTAAAAATCAGATTTAATGAGACAGATGGTTTAGGGAGGAAGGAGAAAAGGAGTGCCTTAAAAGACGTCAATGCTCTGTTCACAGCGGTGTAAGCTTTCAACAAACCAGCCTGTGTGCTTCGGATAAAATAGGGGTGGAGGTATTTTCCAAACAAAATCTACTTGTAATAGAACTCAGAACTGGGTAACAAAGTCTCCCTGAATTTCCCTACCCCTGAAATGCTGGTTTTCTTCCTATCAGTTTCAGTGTTACAATAAAATTAGAAACCTCACAAGGGAAGATTTCTAATTTTGTTTTTGAAAGACTTTTTTTTTTTTTTAGTCAAAGAGAACTATAGAATAAATTATTACAAGGACATTAAAAGGATTTCATTTCCTTGAGCATACATATGCATTCTGCTGCACCATGTCCTCTCCCTCCCAGTGTAGCCATTGATCCACAGCTTTTATAATGAACTCTAATAACAACTCTATTACTGTGAGGCTTCCAATTGGCTCAGGCACCCACAAAATTAGCTACAAAGAAGCCAGCTTGTCAATATTAATTCCGCCACAGAGATTACTTGTTATGGTAGAACAAAGGTGTTTTGGCTTGAGCTGAACGACTTAACTCCTTGTCTCATAAAATTTAAGCTGCTATTGATCTCCTTCTTCTATTGTGCTGAAAGAATAAAAAAAAAAGGGCTGTGCGCGCGCAGACACACAGACAGACTGGTGTGCTGAATCACTCCGATGCATTCTCCTAAACCACAGCCGCCCCCTTCCTTCCTTCCCTTCTTCCCTTCCCCTTCCATCCCCTCCCTGTCTGCTAAGAATCATTCAGTAACATGAAGCAAATTAAATCAATGAATTCATCCTAGCAGATGGGTGCTTTAACAGTCAGTTAGCCTTTAGATAATTGAGGCGTTGACTCCGGAATCATAAAATGGATGGCTCGTTTGTACATTTTACTGAAATAGATCACCGAGGTTAAATAAATGAAATCCCATTTGTCAGGCGGTAATAAATGGCCTCCCCTTCTGCAAACAGCTCTGTTTGGCCTAATAAATACAGGGATGTTACAGTGCTCCTCCCTTGATAGGGTTATGGCTTAATGAAATGGTCTTTCCTCTGCTTGTTTTTGCCTCCTCCTGCACCGTGTGATAAGTAGCGAACCAACGAAGCTTGTAATTACAATCTTACAGAGAACCCAGCCAATCTGTATATAAATCTCACCATCCAATTACAAGATGTAATAATTTTGCAGTCAAGCTGGTAATGAGGTCTAATACTCATGCATGTGATAATCCCCCCTGGATGCTGACTCTATCAGATGTTAGCTTTGTAATTATACTGGCAGAAAATCATTATTTCATGTTCAGCAGAAAAATGAGGTTGGTGGGAAGTTAATTTTCTCTATGCTCTGTGAAGCATAGACAAAATTTTAATGATTTAATCATTATGGTTATCCCTTTTGCAATTGACCCGCGTTACTTCTGTAGAAACATTGGCACATTTAAAAGTCCCTGTTACCCGATAAAGCTTGCCAGGTATGCAGCTTTTAATGTAAGAATAACCGTATACAATTAAACTATTAACCTCCTTGATAGGGGAAAAATCCATAGTTTTTATGTTTTCATTATTTACACACAGGATCCAAAGGAATGTTTACGTCCAGCCTGCGCTGCGATAAAAAAAGACTCTTAAATAAAGAAAAAAGAAAAATGCTATAATTAGGATGTAAGCTCTCAGAACAAAACAGCAGGTTCACAATGGTATTTTAGCAGCTCAGTAATCTTTTGTTCCTTTCCAGTGTAGGAAACATTCATGAGATGTTATACCTCTACACAAAGATCTTATTATGCATAATCAGCATTTTCACAGGAACTAGTTTAAAGGAATCACTTGTGATACATATTTTTAATTATTCTTTTCTGCTCTCAGAATTTGCTTGTTATTTCTGTTTGTCTGGCCTGCCAGGAGAAGGACACAGAATAAGAGAGAAGTCACAACATTGAGATGGGAGAGTGAGAAAAAAACAGTAGTGCAAAATCAAAACTATAGGGAAGTAGGTAGGCAGGACAAAATAACAAAGTGTATTGCAAATTGCAACTAAGATATTTAAGGATAAATTACTTTAAAAAATTCAAGTTAAAGAAAATGTCATCAAATTCTTTTGTGCTAGGATTTCAGTGGAAGACATGTATCCAAATAGTACTTAAGCACTCCCAACGTCACTTAGATTTGCAAGCTTCATTCTGCTATTTCTAACTTTTGATCCTGTGCCGATAATGTTCCTTTACTGGCTTATTTCAAATGTATATGGGCATATATATGTGTGTGTGTGTGTGTGTATGTATGTGTATATAAATATTTTTGTGTATACATGCTCTGTTTCTCTAAGACAGACATTATAGAAAACCTAACTGAATCTTATCTTTTGGAAATATTTTTGTATTTTTTTTAGAATGAGTAGCAGGATTAGGGCCTGTGCGGTACTTCAGTTGATGACTTTCAGGAAGGCTTGATCTGGTATGTCCAAAGGCTTACCAAAGCAGAAGTCAATTAGTATATGAAATCTGTAAAAGATAACCTCGTATTTGATTCCTGTTAGGCTTAGACGGTAGACAGCGCTGTTGACTCAAGACAAAAGCAGTTATGGATAATGTCCAGAGAATGACCTGCATGTAGGGATGGGGCTTATTCCACCTCACTTCAGATTTGTCCTTCCAGACTTGGTGGAGTAATCTAGAGCCCCTTCACAGCCCATGAGCACATCAGGGCTGCCCTTCTCTTACCCAGCTGATGCATCTGCCTTTTGAAAGGTGATCTGTATCCCAGAAGTGCCTTTTCATCCACTGGCCATAAAAAAATAACAAATGTATAGTTCAGATGTTGGTAACTACTTTGTAGGCCTCAAAGATTAGTTGAAATAAATTCTACCCTTACCTCCTTTGTGGATCCAACCCAAAGTGGCTCTGGAGAAGGCCTGGGGTCTATTATGTATTAAATTCCTAATCTGTTGATATAAAAAAGACAACTTGGCAGACACGAATCCTGATCTAAT